GAAATGCCAAGCTAGCCAGCAGCATGGGACCATGGGAAATTCCAAGGTGGCCAGCAGTGTGGGATCATGGGAAATGCTGAGGTAGCCAGTAGTGTAGGATCCTGGGAAATGCCCAGGTAGCCAGCAGCAGGATCATGAGAAATGCCGAGGAAGTCAGTAGTGTGGGATCATCGGAAACACCAAGGTAGCCAGCAGCATGGGATCATGGGAAATGCTGAGGAAGCCAGCAGCAAGATTGTGGAAATGCTAAGCTGGGCCAGCGGGCAGGATGATAGAGGTAATCCTTTCATCTGGGTCATCACACCCGGTCGAGAGAGAGCATGGGCATGGAGAGCTCTTCAGTCCTTTAGATAACTCTCACAAAAACATCAGCCTCTCGAGGGCAGGCTAATTCCCAGCATAATAGGCCCACAATAAATTTTTGTTGCATGAAGGAATTAATTCATGAATGAGTAACTTGCCCAAACAACTAATTAATGAACACATAATTATGTCCCTGCAAGTGCCAGGCATTGTGTTAGGGCTCCCAGGATACACCTATGGACCAGACAGGGCCCCTGCCCTTGTGGTCCTCTGACCCAGTGGAGTCAGGCATCTGCCATTTTCTGAGCACCTACTACGTGCTGGGCACTGTGTCAGCCAGCCATGCATCATGTAGTGTCGGTAACCCCCTCCACCACTAGGTATTTTTCTCCTTTCTCAGTTGAGGAGATCAAGGCTTAGAGAGGTCACATGACTCAAGGCCACAGAGTAAGACAGAGACAGCGCCTGGTTGCAGACCCAGATCAAGGTGATTCCAAAGTCTGCCATTTCTCTCTACAACATTCTTTCTCCTCCTGGAAGGGGAGGATAAGAAGAGGGAGGGAAAGCCTTCTTTCTGGGGGTTCTAAGGTCATCAGGGTTGGTAGGGAGGGTCCTGGAAGATGGCAACATGGTCAGGAAGAGGGTACGGCAAGGGCCTGGGAAGCTCTCTAGGATTCAGGCTGGCCAACTCCACTTCTTCATCTTTACTTCTCATCCTGGCCACCCCTGCCCTCTTGTTTCAGGCTTCTTGAGCTCCTGAAGGTTATCTTTGGCCTCAGGGCATTTGTGTATGATATTTCCTTTTTCTGGGACACTCTTTGGCCCAGCTAATTCTTACTAATCTCTTAGGATTCATCATAGATGTCACCTCTTCCAAGAAGCCATCTCGGACTGCCCCAGGCTGGGTTTGGTCCCCTGCCTGGTCTCTATCCCATCAGAACATTTAACATGCCTTTAATTGTGCACATCTCTCATGAAGTGTGCTCGGATTCACATGTGTCTTACGTGTCTACCAGGCTCTGTCCTAAGCACTTTGCATATCTTCGCTCATCTAATTCTCCCCAATACCCGGTGAGGGAGGAAAGTACTGTTGTGATCCCTGTCTTACAAACGAGGAGACTGAGGCACACGGGGTTAAGAGAGTTTCTCGGGGTCCCACAGGTAGTAAGCCATCTGTCCAGGATGCACACCCAAGTTCTTGAGTCTGTACTCCCCACCACCCTGCTCTACAGCCTTTCAGTGACGTCTCAGTGAGTGATGGACACGGACTTGTGTGGCACTCTGGACATGACTGTGAGCCCTTGTCATTGCCCTGTGGGGACATCTCGGATTGGTAGGCGGTCTGACCTTCAGGGTGCAGGCAGTTCTAACTCTGGGGAGAAAGGAAGAGGGTTGGGGGAGCTGGGTTGGGTTGAACCAGTGACTCGGGCAGAGGAGCTTCCCCCACCCTCCCCCCAGATTGGCAGGTTACAATGCTCTGGCACCCTCCCCAGTTTCCTCGGGATAATGAGAGCGCACCCACAGCTGGCCGTGATTGCTTTGGCTTGGGTCACACATTGTACATAGTAATCCCTGGCTCCCATCTCCCCCTTTAAGTGGGTCAGTCGGATCAGAACTCAGGTTCTTGTCTTCCCACTTCACTGTCTGGTCCAGCACTAACAACCCCTTCAATTCTCCCAAACCCGAGGGGCCGAAGGACCGCTCTGGCTGCCAGGGCAGACAGGCATGAAAGGAGGAACACTGGGTTTAATGGGCACCTACTCCCTGCCATGCTCTGTGCCCCTTCCCTGGTTTCAAGGAATGTGGAGTGTGAAACCAGGGCAACCGAACCCAAGAGATTAAAGTGATTTCCCTGGGGCATCTCGAGTGATGGGACAGACGTAATCCACGTCCATGGCTGTGCAGGAGAAAAGGCAGGAAACCTGGATATCTGGCTAAAACCGCAAGTGTGGCTCCTCCTTAATGCGGGACCACTGTGCGTTTTCAGGGACTAGGCAGCCTTGAGAGGGCCAGCCCGTCTACCGGGGAAATGAGACCCGGGGAGGTGACTCACCCGGGCAGCTGATGCATGGAAATGGGCATCAGGGCTGAAGCCACGCTCACAGGCTGTGTGTGTGTCTCTCTCACAGTTCTCCCCAGTCACACGTGTGGGAACCCCGGGCGGCTACCCAATGGCATCCAGCAGGGCTCAACCTTCAACCTCGGGGACAAGGTCCGCTACAGCTGCAACCCCGGCTTCTTCCTGGAGGGCCACGCCGTACTCACCTGCCACGCCAGCTCCGAGAACAGTGCCACGTGGGACTTCCCCCTGCCCTCCTGCAGAGGTAGGTGGCCAGAGAGGGTCTGAGGGGTGGGCAGTACGCGGAGAGGGATGCTGGAGCTTCCAGGGGGGCCTGGTCTTCAGTGGGGGAGGCTACACCGTCCACTCCAACAACGTCTAGGGTGCCTGCTCTGGGGAGCGCATGTCTGGAGACCACTGCGGGTCCCCAGGGTCCCCAGCTATTCTAGAGACTTCTCAGCTGTACTTGACCTTCCAGCCCTCAGGTGTTCCTTCCTTTGATTCCTTTCCCACACAACAACAAACTTATTTTTAGCCAGTCTACCCTCCTGTCTAGAAGAAACACGGTTTCTTTTCCGTTACAGAGCATCTGTGTGCAAGGATCTCCCCCAGCTGCTTCCCTTCCTACTGACCTCACCCTGGCAGTTCTTCTTTTCCCTCTCCTACAAATTTCCTATAAATTCAGCCTCTCTCCCTGTTTCACGGAGTCCTCCTCTCAGCCTCCAAATATGCTCAAAACCTCTTTACCCCAACAGCCACCCCCCCAAAAAAACCCTACCACCTCAACCTCCCAGCTAGGGTGACCAACTTATCCTGGTTTCCCTGGGATTTTCCCATTTTTAGCTCTGAAATTCCCGCATGCTGGAAACGCCCTCAGTCCCAGACAAACTGGGATGGTGGGTCACCCCCTTCCCAGCCTATTTCTTATTGTCCCTCCAGCCCATAATAGCTGGGTTTATTTCTAAGCTAATTTCTCATGCCTTTAATCTGATGATAAAAATAATGCATGATCATTTTTAAATGATCTTAGAAAATTCAGAAGAATAAAGAAGCAACAAAATTTGTTCATTTTAACAATGATTTTCACGTGTTTCCTTCCTGTCTTCTAATCTATACTGCACTATGCATATATTATGAATATGTGTATAATTGAGATTACCATGCATGTAGATTTTTTAAGACACCTTTTAAATGCTGTGACATTGTACTGTAGGGTTTCCCCAGGCCACCAGGAATGCCCAGCATCTCAAAAGCTCCATCCAACCTTCTCTCTCCCTGCCCCCACCTACTATTTACTCCTCTGCAGACTGGCCTTTGGCCCCAATATTCTGCATCATGTTGCCAAATCAGATGGGAATTGTTTTGGCCCTTATATTTCTTGACCTCTCAACAGCCTTTTGCACTATTGACCACTCTTTTCTTCTTCAAACTCTCATCTTTAAATTGTGTGGGTCCCAGAACACTCTGCTATAGGTCTGGGGGGGATCATTTCAAGGAGTTGAGAAATGATTGGAACATGCAGCTCTCCTTGGGTTCAAGTTTTACCTTTCTCTTAGAGGCAGCTTTTCTGTAAATACTGTCCAAAGACTAGCTCGGGGAGCCTTGCTCCCCATTCCCGCCATAAGCGCATGCCCTTTGTATTGTCTGCACCAGGGTTGGAAAATACTTGGCACATATATCTCTTCCCTTGTTCCCATTCCAATGGCAGACATAATTAATTGATCACAGCACCCTTTCTTGAGCCCACACACGGCTATGAATTCCTTCCCAACAGACAAGCCACAACCAGTCAGCGTGAGTCACCATGTGATCCCATGTTTGTTTACTCCTCTTTGCCATGTTGGTCCTTCTTGGTGGAACCCAAGGGAATGAGAGTCTCCCTTCTCACCTTCCTAAGTGCTCCTCTCAGGCCCCATTTCTAAGTTGGGATGTGCCTCTCATCACGTGATTGATACCAGGAATGACCAATCCCATCAGGGGAGACCTTGGCCCTTCCACACAAGTGTGTGGCCCTGAGTGGCCAACCACGGCCTAAAACTGCTGTCTCCACTCCTCTTAGAATCCCTATCCACCCCCAGCCCGGAAGATGTCACAGCTGAACACTCTGACCTTCCCAGGAGGGGTGTCAGAGTTGTGATGTGATAATAGAATATGAAACCTGATAGTGTATGAAATCAAGTATTTAAGTTGTGAAACAAGACCCACCATTCTCTTTCCTCTTACAACACTATAAATACCATGCTCTTTTAATATGGAAATGGAAAACAATGGTAGCCCAAGTATGAGAGGCAGAGGGACTGCCACCCCATCCTGTGCCATATAGTTCACATCAACACCCATCCCAATATGGTGGAAATCCACTTCCCCTCCCAGGGTCTCCAGGGATCTTCATCACCTTTAGCCTCCTCTGAATCTGTAACTCACTGCCATCCCTCATTTCCCTGGGTTCTGCTCTGTGAGCTTAAGTCAAGAAGCTGGCCCATTGGTCTTCAGTCTCTCCCTGTCTCGGGGGAAAAACAAAACAAAAAGCAAAACCCACTAACAAAGGTGTTTGCTCGCAGCACAGCCTTTATTGAAGGTGTTGGTGGCAACACAGGGAGTTTGCGGCTCAGCAATGCAAATGGCTGAGAATGAAAGTCTGAGTCATCATGAGCCTCAAAAGCTTTCGGCCCCTGCTCCCTGGAAGCTTGTCCCTGGCTTCTGTCTTGACAGGCTCAGGTTTCCGTGGGGGTGTACATCACACACTCTCTTCTTTCTCCAGCCAACTCCACTTGGTCCCTCTTGACTTTGGCCCCACGGGGGGACTTGCATTGACCTCTTAGGCACAAGAGCCCCATTGCCTCTTGGTTTTGCCATCTCCTTACAGGCTAATGTGTCTCTTCCCAGGGTGGTATTGTCCTGAACAAAGAGAGCCTTCACCTGGAAGAAACTTGGCAGACTGTGAAAATGCCTTGTTTTAATTAATCCACCAGTAAAAGATAAGTGATGAGGGCCATCTCCTGGAGGTCTTCCTTGGCTAGGTGGGCTCACGGCCCCCAGTCTAGTGCCTGCATGTCCAGACGTGGGGGGCGGGCTGGCGTGGGCTGGGGTGATGGTGCTCCCCCAGCACGCACACCACAGCAGTGGTTCATGGGCGCGGGGGGCCTTTTTAGGGCAGGACTTTCTCCCAAGCCTCTCTCTTCCCCTTAATGCCAGAGGGCCCAGCATGGCCTCGCCTCTGGGGACATCGTGCATCTCTGCAGATTTCTCATCCACTACATGGCTTCTAATTGTCACTTGGCGGTGACTCTCCAGTTTCTGTCTCCAGCCCCACTCTCTGCCCTACGCTGCAGGCCCACCTGGGTATCAGACTCTACTGAGCCTTTCCTGGAGTGTGCTTCAAATGGGGCACATCCAAAATCTAATTCTTTCTTTCTTCCCAAACCTGCTCTTTGTGTGCCTCCCCCAGCTCAGTGAAGAGTGTCACCATCCAAGGTGGCCAAGCCAGACACCCCAGTGGCATCTTACCCCCCTCACCATTCTTGCCCCTGACACCATCAGCCACCACGTCCTGGTGCATCTCTCTCTGCACCCGCCCTCGCCTCCAAGCCTCTGCCCTTGTTCAGGGGCTCTGACTAGTGATGGTCCAGACTACCTCACGTCTCATCTCACCTGTCCCACTGCAGAACAGCCCTCCCTGGGCGGCCATCTGCCAGTCTCCCACCACACGTGGCCCAATCCATTCTCCACTGCTGGAGTGAACTTTCTAAACCACAGATCCGACAGAGCACTTGTTGCTTAGAAGGCTGTCAGTGGCTATTCATCCCTGACGGGGTCAAGTTCGGATTCCTTAGCATGGACAAGGCCCTTCCAGAAAGAGTCCCAGGCTGATCTTTCTAAGTCTTTTCTAAGTAGCTTCCAATTTAGCCACACTGGAGAAGGCCGTCTTCTGGAACACACCAGGGAAGCCAGCCAAGGGTGTTAAGTGTGGCTTCCAAAAAGGCTTCAAGTCCCGGAGGCTCCTTGGTGTCATAGGGGGCTGAGATGGGGCTCTGCCCATGGGGGAGGACAGATGGCTCTCCCACTCTCCGAGTCCCAGCACCTCCCCCATTCTCGGGGCTCCAGGTCCAGTTCTGGTTCCTAATTCACCACAAGATGCAAGAATAGTCTGAGAAGTGTCCTCAATAATGCCAGTGATTTTCTGAAAGTGATTTTCCAAACTGCACTTCCTTAGGAGGGCAAGCTGTACAGGAGCTGAGGGTGCTCATCAGGAGCCGTGCGATGCCAGGAGCCGTGGTCATGCCAGAGTTAACGGTTCGCACTCAGGAAGGATTAAAGCCTTTTGGCCTTTTTTCCTCTAGTGTGGAATTCTCAAGGGCTGGCATCTGTGAGTGGATAAACCTCATCCACTGGGCAGTGGTCCGTAAATATTTGCTGAATGAGTGGGTGGCTGGATGGGCCTAATTCCCCACCCGAATCGTGTAGGCATACAAGCCTGAAAGGCAAATTGCTGGCCTGGGTTAGCCCACCTGCCCAGCAGTGCCGAGGGACACAGGGTCTGAGGCCAAGGCTTCCTGGAGCAGGTTGGAGGGCAGGAAATGCCACATGCCTGGCTGAAAGGTAGACTCAGCTGGAGGACATAGCCTGGATTAAGGGGGAGTGAGAACCCACTGGGATATTAGGTGGCAGAGCAGGTGTGAGGCTGACCTCCGATGAGGCCCATCCCAAGGCTGCTGGCCCTCTAAGGCTTGGTCTAGCTGGCAGAGGGAAGGAAGCAGGACCTATGGCCTCCCTTTGCTTTGTGTCACTCTGGGCACAAGGCAGAGGTCCCTGGGAGGCTCTGAGCTTTGTGGAACCTCTTTGAATCACAAGAAGGAAGACCATGTGGGTTTCAGCAAATGGCCTCTGACTTGTGAGGAGCATGGGCCCTGGAGCAAAGAAGCCCGTCTGGGGAAGGCATGGGGTTCAGATGTGCTGGGGGCTGCGAGACAGGTGGAGAGAAAGCAGCTTGAGCAAGCAATGCTTGGCCTCTGAGGTTCAAGCCAGACACTGCCGGCTGTCCCGACTCGGGGAAGGGGGCACTGGTCTGCAGAAGCTCGGGCTGCACGTGCAGAGCTACATTCCCGATTTTCTAGCCCCAGGGGGAGGAACCTGGGGAAGGCAAGACAGAGGCAGTGTGCCATGGAAAGAGGGTGGAGTCAGATGGGTCCAAGTCAGCCCTAGCCATGCCGTGTCAACTCAGAGCTGCAGATCACTGGTGTGTTGCTAAGCCTCTCCGCGTTTTCA